GTGGGGGGGGGGGGGGGGGGGGGGGGGGAGATTCGGATTGGCACGTATCCAATACCTCTCCTCATGCGAGGAAAATTTTTTTTTTCTCTCTTTTCCTCTTCCTTTCCTGAGACGAGAGAATGAAAAGAAGGGATGGGACCCGAGATAAAAAGTGTAATGAGAATAATGTGGCTGGTAATTAGGACCCCAAGGGGAGAGGATGAATGGGACGCCTCCTCACCCTCGTTTCCATGGTGTGATAGAGTCCTCCTCGGGCACTCGTCTTCCCCTCCGTTCGTCCTCATCTTCCAATTTTCCTTCGCTGTCCCTCCTCCCCACAGCCTCGAATCGTTATACGGTTACAAACTCTGTCTTAAAGTCACCGTAATACTCACGATGTTTCACAAAGGGTCAAAGAATCTGAGTTTAGAATAAATAACTGACACAGGAAAATGATTCCAAGTATTCAACGAGTTAAACTCACCGTTGAAATTGATCTCTTTACCCCGAAGAGTATGAATAGGCTCCAAGAATCGCGAAAATGAGACAATTTCAGGGTCAAAAGAAGGAAAAGTATGACCGAGAAGGCGTCTACATACCCATGCTCATCCCCTTAATCGTTCATGGGAGAGGAGTGAGAGGGAGGAATAGGATAAAGAATAACCACCAAAAGGAAGACTGCTTCACCATAGATATTTTATTCTCATCTACTTTTCACTGGTGATACATACATAGATGATGCAGGATAGACACCAATACACCGACGGATTGGGGATTACTCTCGCGACACTTTCATCATCCCCCTCTCCCTCACGTACCTATTAATTAATCTCATGAAATGACTCACATCGGAGGGGAGAGGAACGAAAAGAGGCTCAGTCGGGCCTCGTCTTGGCTTGGAGGAGGGCGGCGGCGTGGAAGGCCGCGGCTGCGATCGGCGTCAGGCCCGGGATCATCCTCCCGGTGCTGCTGCCGCCGTGGATGCGGTTTTGGTTGTGGTTGTAGTTGTGGTTAGGGGCGGGGATGTTGCTGTTCTTGTGTCGGAGGAGGGAGGGGTTCGGGATCGTGCGGACGCTGGCGTTCGGGATCTTGCTGATGGAGACCGAAGGAGACGTGAAGTTTCTCAGGTGCTGTTGTTGCAACAACTGTTGCTGTTGCTGTTGCTTCTGCTCGGCGTTCCTCAGTTGCTGCTGCCTGATCATCTCTTGAATTCGGATGTGGATGGGGCTCTTGGACTTGAAATTGAGGAGATTCGTACGAGAGCCAGTCAGAGTCGGTCTCGTCGGGACGCAGGGAATGCTGGTCTGGACCTTCGTGCTCGGACCGGTCGCATTCCCGTTCGCGGTCGGGCTGGCACTGTTGCTGCTGGGCCTGGGAGGTCCCGCTTTCAACGGGGAGGGGGGCGAGGAGTTCGTCTCGTTCGAGGAGGGGGTGGTGGTGGGGGGTCTGGTCACGGAATGGATGGAGGTCGCGTTGGGGAGTTTGTACTTGATGTTGTTGAGGAAAGTGTTGACGGAATGATCGCGAGTGGGAGGGGCACGAGCCAGGGATCCCGCTGCTTTGCTCAGGGTCATCAGGTTCTCCCACTCGCGCTCCTTCTTTTTCCCGGTGGAGGGGGGAGGTAAGACCGGTAACTTCCCCTTGGCCTTGTGGCTTAGGTCCAGTGGGGCACCCAAGGAGCCTTCGTCGTCTCCTTTCGAACTCGGTTCCTTCTCTTTCTCTTCCGATTTCTTACCCGGTTGCTCCTCTTCTTTTTTCTCCTTCCCCCCCTCGCCCGGTTTACCTTGCTCCACTTTTTCCTGCTCCTTCCCACCCTTCGACTTCTCCTTCTCCCCTTCCTCCTTCTTTTGCGTCTCTTCGGGCTTCTCTTTGGGACGAACGGGTTCCTTCGAGTCTTCCGGGTGCGAATGAGAGGGGGTCAAAGACTTGGGGGACTGGGACTGGGGGTCGCTCGTCCCCGTCCTCCTCACGATCCGCACCTGACGCAACTTATTCACTTCTTCCTCCTCTTTCCTCTCTTCCGTCTTTTCCTTCCGGCCGCCTTCCGTCTGCTCCTCTCGCTCCTCCTCTTCTTCCACTCTCCTCACTTTCTTCCCGCATTCTTCTTCCTCCTCCTGTCCTGTCGTATCTGTTTCTCGCTTTCTTTTCCTCTCTTCTCCCTCCTTTTCCTCCGAATTCGTCACGTCGTTCATCTTCTCCACCTCCTCTTCCTCTTCGATCTCTTCATGTCCTGAGTCTTTCTCTTCGTCCTCATCCTGCGTCCCATTCTCTCTACTGTCCTCTTTTCTCTCACCTTCCCTGTTATCCTGTCTCTGGGACTTCTTGTCCTTTTCGTCCTGAGGATCAGCTTCGGTGGAAGGTTCCCGCTTCCTTTTTAGCTGCTTTTTTGTCCTTTTCTTTTCTTTGAAAGGCCTTTGGTGAATCTGATAAAGAAACCTCATGGGACGAGCCTGCAAACGATAAAAGAGAGATCTCCGCTAATATCGGACTGCTGTCTTCATTTCCGTCAAGAAAATGTCGAATGCTCACCCGCTTCCACCGATATATGTAGACGATGTCCACGAGCGTGTAATCCTCCGCTAGGCAATCTCCCCGATACAAAATATCGACCTAAAGAGATGACGTGGACTCAGTCGGGTCCTCGCAATCGCAAAAGAAAATGCCCTTTTTGCTCGTGCAGCTTATGATATCCACGACGAAGGAACTCACTGGGTGATCGAGTTGGAGTCCGTACTTGACCCTGATGAACTTCTTCAGCTGGGCTATGGAAAGAGCAGCGGGGCAACGGAGGTATCTCCTCCGACTCCCATTCAAACTCTCTTCTTCCTCCTCTTCGTCTTCTGTATTATCTTCCTCCTTCTTATTCTCGTCCTCCGCCTCGGCGGTAGTCTCGTCTTCCTTCTTTTCCTCGGAATGCCTGGTATAGAAACGAGGAGAATGCAAGGAACTGAAGCGGGAAGGCGAAGAAGAAAATGAAATCCTTACGGTTCGAGGTATTCGATGGAGAGGGAGACGGGTTCATCGGGGGAGATGTACCTTCCATCCACGACCTCCCCTCGCGCTTCCGGCGACAACGGCGCTGTCAACAACACACACACACTCATTATAGACCGGGAAATGACTGGAAACGGGCTGAAAAAAAGGGAATTCTCTCACGTTCGTGCTGGGGGTGCTCTGAGTAATACTGCCGCCTGCGTCGCATCTCCGTCTGATAGAGGCCCGGGACGAGCTTATACACCAGGGTCTGGAGAGTCTGATCCGGCCTGCCACACACGATGCAAATACGTCGTCTCTCATTTAAATTCCATTTTTGGGTCACGATCGCACCCCAACATCCACCCTTCTAATTAAAGTAAGCCGGGGCGGGAAGACCACATATCCATGCGGCGACTGAGTCAAAATGAACCGTCCGATCAGATAGACGGCGGTTCGTTCCTCTGATTGGAAATAGTGGGATGAGAGGGAGGGAAATGAAATGAAATGAAATGGAGGGAGGGGGGGATTGTTTTCCCGCAGGAAGGGAGAGCTGCGGCTGCATCGCATGCAATGTGCTTCCCCCCGCCGCCGTCCCAGTCTCTCACACCCTCCTTCACTCGCTCGCTCATGCCGCGGAGAAGCGGGGACGGTGGGAAAGGGAAGGGGACGGAGGGGAAGGAACACTCCTGCGATTCAACCGTCCTCATTCATTCATCCACTCGGTCGTCCTTGTCCCCCGTCTCTCTGTCTCTCCGCTGACCTTCCTTTCTCTTCGCTCCATCATTTCTCACGTGTCGTGTGGCTCCGTATCGTTCGCGGTGTCGATGGATCGCCTTCGATGCTATCGGCACCGCAGCTTCGGGATGCAAACCGTATCACCATGGGTCTACGGCGTATCGTAGACCCAGTCGAAGTATCTGTTTCGATCATCCTAACTCGGTCACAGCACATCATACTGTTAGAGAAAGTATCGACCCTCGTGAAACTGTGTCAAAAGGACTGAATGTAAGCTCTCCACCTCGTGGTGTGATATTCGCTTCCTTCGAACTTTACACTATTGGGACTGAGAGCTGCAGTCAAGGAAAAGAAACCCACTGAATCCCCTTTGTCAAAGGACGACGCAGATACGTAATGTAGAAATTATACTTCACAATAGACTCCAGTGACGCCATCGATGAAACCCTTCGGAGAATCGAGTTGGGGGGGGAGGGGGGGAGGGAAAACAAGTTGAACATAGTCCATTCCGGTAGCATCCATCAACGAACGTACCGCTGTGTTATCGATAATCCATTCGATATGTAGTCTCTTCGGTCTACCCATGCCTTTTATGGCTGAAAGGAGAATTATTGTATGTCATTCGTCTTCCTCTCCCAAGAGGACCGAGAGTGGCTTCTCCCCTAATCCTGCCCGCCAGACAGTGGCTCGCGACGCCCGGGGTGAGAGGAGGTGAGAGGGGGTGGAGGCCTCACGGGATCGTGATGAGATGCCTGGCGAGTGCCGTGAGCCTCGAGCGTGGTTAGCCAATGGTGGGCCTCCGAGCCCCCTTTCCGAAATCTTGACAAGTGGGTGACACCGAGATTTATGAACTACCGTTAAAGAGGCCATACAGGTGTGGCACGGTTGGACCGGATAGACCGTATGTAGTATCGAGTAATGCACAGCTAAAAAAAAGAAAACTCCCTCGGGCCTTTTGAGAAGACGCACTACTCAGTGCCGCGATCATTACGAGCTTCGTATCACCGAAAACCTCTCTTGACCTTCCTTGATTTAATTTACAATACACGACTCTTGCAGGAGTCTCGACAGGGTGATGAAGGAAAGATGGATGGGTACCCCTCGCCCGCTGCTTCTGAACCGCTCAGTATTTTTTTCTGGAATGATATATTAACGAGTCTCCTTAGGCTCAGCCATTATGGATGGCAGGCGAAAGAGACTAATGTGGGTAGGTCCATCCGGCTCGATAAGGACCGTGGGCCTAGCGGGGGATCTCTCCCAGTCTTTGTTCGTCCATCACAGTTTCAAATATTACATTGATTTCACAATTAATTGGCTTATGAATAAAACTTTTTGAACGTGAAATGAGAATCGAGTTTACCGCGTTTGTGAGATCTGGTGCAAAAAAAAAGGCGGAGTGTGCAGTTCCCGCAACCGCTGATAAAAGCCGTGCACTGCGCTCGAAACAACAGAAAGAAAAAACTTCCTACAGAGTCCTCGAATCAGATAGGAAACATTCAAATGGATAAGGCCTGCATTTGCATATTTGATCTGTTGGGTTTAAATCCCCCCCGCCACGACTTCTAACGTAAGAGGCTTTATAAAGACTTTCGGATCGTATGCCTTTTCTATTCTCATTGCCTTTCCCATCTTTATGATGGCGTAAAAGTGCCCTTTCACCCCACCAAGTCACTTTCATAATAGGAATTAGGAATAAAGAACCATTTACAGTGCAAAAAGAAACTAAAGCTCCCCCCCCCCCCCCCCCCCCCCCCCCCCC